GGCTTCTGCCGCCGGCCGCGCAGACTCGGCCCCTCACAGCCAGCACCCCGGCTGCCCCTCTCCTACGCGGAATTTGGGGCTGGGGGTTGGCCAGGTGCAGCACGGCGCATGGCCCCGTGTGCCGCCCTGGCGCTCAGCTCTTGGGCCGGGTCTCACTCATTCCCCCAGGGCGGTGGGAGCGCTGGGGTGGCGGGGCCCTAAGGGCTGACGGGTTGTTGTTTCTGCTCTGTAGCTGGTGCGCAAGAAACATGTCCTCTCCCGTCTCCACGATGCCGTGGTCTGGCAGGCACTGCCAGTTGTCCAGCTGCTGGCACCGGACGAGAGGATCTGCATGCATTTGATAGGAATTCTCTTGGGTAAGGGCTCTGCTGCGGCCTAGTGCAGCAGCAGGGAGAAGGCAGTTACCCTTCTTGAATAGGTGTATATGTGGGAACTTCTTTACATTTGAAGAAAAAAAAAAATACAAAAGAATATCGAGGTACCTAATTTCATACTTCCACCATTCTGTTAGATATGTTATTCTTCCTGTGGAAGACTGCCTGTCATCTGATTTAGAATAGGTTAATTAAGTTCCTTATTACCCAAGGAACAGGACTGTCATGTTCATAAAGATCTTAGAATTTTCCGGAGTATCTTGATGTATCCTCTAAAGTCTGTCTGGAGAATGGGGAGTGCCTGGCATATGTCTCTTCCCTGAATGCCTTCCATTGTGGTGTTGTGCCTTGGTGCTTTCTCATCTTACTGAACTGCAGCATTGTGTGAAGTTACACACAGAAATGAAAGTGTGAGCTTAAAAAGGTGTTACAGGTACAAATCTACATAGTGTTTTTTTCACACCATCAGTTTACATTTGTAGAAATCCTTGTAGCCATAGGACTGTAATACCTACTTTTTTTTCTGGTGGGTCAGCCTCACAGGAGAATAGTGTTCAGCACGATGTCAGAAAGTGCATCTCCAGTAACAATCTCTGCGATCATGAACATCTCTTACTGGTTTCTGTTTGCATAGCAGTGCTGTGGGAAAGGTCTTTGCAAGGTCTAAAATCTTGATGGAGAAGAAATAATGGTCTAAATGAGGGAATAGTAAGGCAGGAGGAGGAAGATGGGTATGAGTGTGACTGCCTTCAAAGAGCAAATATACTGGATTCCTTTAATTCCATGATCTCATTTGCACATCAGAGATAATTCTCATTCTTTGGGGTAAAAGTGACTTACAAGCCCCTTCCCCTGCCTTAATACACTGAATAATTCAGTGTTTTCCCAGTTGATTTCCCAGCACGAAGAGCATTGTGCATGTTTTGGAAGCAGTTTTGTTAGAAACACATGCTTGTGCAGGTTTAGTTTGCTTAATTGCACAAATTTTTATGGATCACTGCCTGCCCACATAATCCTATACAGATGTGGAGGGAGTGGTGCTTATGGCCAATTCAGTCCTACAGTGTATGACCGTAACACCAAATACCTGAGAAGACAGGGAAGCTGTGCTTGGATTTCAATGCTCTTGTCTGCTTTTAAATAATAATTCTCTCTCTGAGAAGAATTGGATGGTTTGGGGCCAGCTTTGGGATTTTACTGTACTTGATGTAGCTCCTAGAGCAGTTGCAACCCCAGTCTAAACTTGCGTCTACAATGACACGCACATTTTGAACAGATCTTGAATGAACCAAGGATCATATGGTGAAAGAGTGTAAGAGGGAACCCCTCTGAGCAATGCTGTGGAGGAAGTATTAATAATAAATTGAAGAAAATACTCATTTTTTGAGAGAGAATATTGGGTTAAGCACAGGCAGAAGAAAGAGGGTTGAGAACAAAGGTGTAGTGTGGAGGGTTACATATAAGAAGATGGTGAATTTCAGGTAAGTCTCAATTTCATATAGCTAATACTGCAATGTTCACTAATGCTGTATGCAAATATTTTCCAAAGGGTAAGGAAGTTACTGAGGGTCAGGCAGATGAGGCAGGAAATAAGTAATTTCTTCACCTACAATGTCATAACATTGCTTTAGTTGGTCAAATTTCTGAGAGGTCACGGAGTCTCTGGAGGGGAGGTAATTTGTTTGGATATGTTGAAACAAGTCGTTTGGTGTGGCAGAAGTGGGGGTTTGAACCAGATGCCTGTTGCTGTAGGTACCTGAAGTTGGAAGGAACTGGGAGATAGTTTCTCACTGTTGTGATGTAGTAGTGTGAGACGGTGGCTTATTTTAATATATACAATCTTATGCTCTTGTTGTACAAATGACTTGTGAAGTGGTGCCTTCAGGTTCAATTTAACATTGGAATAGTTTCCATATGCTTTAACCCTGATATTCACATTTGGGATTTTCAAGGGATTGTGGAGGGAGAAGACTGTTCGTGGTAATTGATCTGAATGGAATATAGAAAGAATAACTGACAGCTGGGCTGTCAATCTGGAATGTTGTTTCAGATGGATAATACAGGTTACATGCAGTGATGGTAGCAGTTACATATTTATTTACATAGGTGGAGCCATTGACTTCACTGTAAAGTACATAAAAAAAATTGCAAGAGAACAGAATGCCTTCATGTCTCTGTGTCCTGCTTGTGGAGGTGCCTTTTGTGATACTCCCTGAGAGTATACACCTTCCTCTGAAAAAGTTAGACTGGTGTCATGTGAAGTGGGGAAAAGAAACCAGCTCTGAAAAAAAATTGCATCTCCTTTTACAAGAAGGCATTGCAGCACTGATGATCATAAACAGGAATGAGTTCCATGACTGATTGTGGTTTATCTTTTAGGGATGTTGCATACTGTGGAAGACAGCTATGCCCTGGACCTACTTGTGGAAGGTGAGAGGCAGATGCCACGTCTCAATTACTGACAGTGAGGGAAGGCTCTGTCTTGTCTGATAACTACAGTGAGATGCTCAGCTTCTGCACAGCTTGAATTGGGAAGAGCATCTATTTTCTATCAATGGAACAGTGGTGAGCAGGCTGTTCCAATATTTGGGGGCAGGAGAGTGTGTGCGGATTTAAGTATTTAGCATTTCTCTCACAGGTTCTGTGTGTGCCATGAATTTAGCGTCAGATGCATAACAGTCATAAACAGTGTCTCATTTTTGGCATCTTTGGACCTGACTGAAGTCTCAAAGCAAATGGAAATCTTCCTGTAGGCTCAGTGAGCTTTGGGATCTACTGCTTTCTCCTCAGGACAGAGAGTATTTGGGATTTACCTGCACAGGCTGCAGGTTCCTCTTTAGGAGCAGTCCTTCATTTGAAATCTGAAGGAACACCTGCAGGTCTGACAAAGGAATCTCTGCAGTCCAGTTAACCTTGGGCATCTCTGCTGAGTCTATTGATAATAGCAATGCAATGATTTCCTCCTGTACAGCTATGAAAGATGAAAGGAGGTATGACCACTTTCTTCCAGAGGGGGTTCAGTTTTCAGGCACTTGCTTGAAATGGTGTTGAAAAGGTGAGAATTCTTTCTGTCATGTTACCAGTCTGTTGAGGAGTGGATGCTCTCAAACAGATGAATTTTAACTTAATGTTACTTAACTCTTGAAAGTTTTTAGAGATTCTGAGAGTGCTGGGCAAGAAAGGGCCATTAAACCATCTACAAATCACCTGTCCCAAGGTATATCTCTGCTGAGATGCATAGCTCTAGCTAAAGTAGGTCTACTAGATAAACCTCCAGTGTTGCCCTGGATACACCAAGAGATAATGAACCTAAAAGTCTCTGGTATTTTTTTTATGATGCTTTCCTACAATACAAATCAAAAGAGTGTATTTTGCAAATGAGTCATGCCATGGCAGCAAGATACATCCAAGACAGCCTTACCAAATACTATGGAACAATGTTCAGCACAGTGTCTCAGTAAGGAGGTTATTGTCAAAATTTTATCTGCTGAACATTCAGGTGCACAGGTTCTAAAAATACAGAAAGAGGAACTGTTCTTTCTGAAACTGGTCCACTAGTATGTGTATGGAAGCAGCGACAGGCTGCCAGCATCAGGCAACTCCCTTGAGATATTGTTAGGGAAACACCAGGTGATGTGCAGCCAGTGCCTGCTAAACATAGTTTCTCATTGATTGCTCTTATTAGGACAGAGCAGACAGAGTTCATAAAGTTGCACTGAACCAAGCATAACAGCCCTTACTTGGGTCCAAGGAGGTGAATAGTGCCACAAAGGTGGTGGGAACCTTGCTTTCTGTCAAGTTATATGGGATAACTGCAGTGGGAAGGGCTGGCTGATAGGCTACACTGTTAGCTCACACACAGTAGCAGTTGGAGAAGCTCTCAGTCTGCATCTAATGATACTCAGCAATTTCCATTCTGATATCATCTCTGGAAAGATACGTTTTTAAAGGCCAATTTTCCTACTGTAGAAAGCTGCTCTATTCAATTACCAGAAATTTTTATGCTTTTAAGATAGGGCTTTGTTTCCTTCCCTTTCT